GGACAGTGAGAGGGACAGGGACAGGCTGTGTGCAGGTTGGGGGCAGGGACAGTGACAGTGGCAGGGACAGGGTTTGAGTACAATACGGTGACAGGGACAGGCCTTGTAAGTGATGGGGACAGTGACAGTGACAGGCTGTGTGAGGGGACAGGGAGAGGGACGGGTACAGGGAGAGAGGCAGGCCATGTGAGGGGAGAGGGACAGTGACAGGGACAGGCTTTGTGAAGGATAGTGACAGTGACAGGCCGTGTGAGGGTTGGGGACTGTGGCAGGGACAGGGTTTGAGTACAATACAGGGACAGGGACAGGCCATGTGAGGGACAAGGAGAGGCCTCGGGGCTCCCAAGCTGGCAGGGACAGCTCCAGGCCCCACAGCAGGGCCAGGGATGTCCCACAGGGAATGTCACTGCTGTGCTGTGCCAGGGGCACAGCCAGGCCAGCAGCAGGACAAGGGACAGTCGTGGTGTCCCCTGTGTGCTCTCTGCACAGTGCTGGCAGCAAACAGCCCTGCTGGGTTCCGTGGGGCACTGGCAGAGTGGTTTGTGCCTTGTCCTGGCGGCTCCTGCTCCAGTCCCTGGGGAATCCTGCTGGGATCTCCCTGCCCGGGGCACACGGGGTGGAACTGCGCCATCCTCAAGGTCCCTTCCACCCCAAACCATCCTGTGCCTCACTGCTCTGCCTCCAGATCACCTCAAAAACAACTTCCCTGAATCGTGTCTGGGGAAGGATTGCAGCTCCTTCAGAGGGATGTTTGTGCCGTTCATCCCTTCCTGAGGCTTTGTTTGTGTGCACAAACACGTCAGGGTGTGTTTGCTGTGTGACTGTTCAGGATGTGCCCCCAAGGCGTTGGAGTGGAGCTGGAATGTCATCAGCATGCCATTAATGGTGTCATTCTCCTGAAGGGTCCCTGCTTCTCCTGGAGGGCTCAGGGCACAGGGATGGAAATGTTTTCCAGGCTGGTTTCAGTGTTTTCNCCTCTTTGGGCCCCTTCTGCCAAGCTGGCAGGGTCTGCTCTGACCCTTGGGCCTGTCTGCAAGCAGAGGGTGTTGTTCCATCAAAAGGGGATCACCTTCAGCCAGCCACACCATTGTTTTCCAGTTGTTCAGTAACTGAGGGATCTCAAAGCTTGCTTTCATTTCAATCCCACTTATAGTTTCCATATTCTCAAAATCTTTTTCCAGACAATGATGTTGATAAGGCTTTCCCGTTTCATCTTCCTTGACAAGAGTGGGGCTGGCAGGGTGACACACAGCAGAGCTGGTGCTGGACGTGGTGTGTGTGCTGTGGGCTGGGAAATGATCTGTGTGATGTGAACTGGGCAGCCCTGAGCCTCTCACAGGGGTGAATTCGCCACAGGATGTGCAGCAGAGATGGGAGTCTGTCATAACTCTGGCATCAGGCAAGGTTTGCTCCATCATGGTCCTGAAGAAAATGAGGAGAGGAGAAGGGAGAGGAGAGGACATGGCAGACAGTGCAGCTGTGTTTTCCTGCTGCTAATAGGTTTGGGCACCTCTGATTAGGTCATTAGATTCTATGACTAAGCCTATTACAGCTTGTCAGTTTGGAGCTGGGCTGAGCTGGTAAGGAGCAGGGGTGCACTGCCAGCAAAGGGTGCAGCTGCTGCAGGACCAGCACAGCCAGGGCTGCTGGGTTTCACATCCTGGGCATGCACTGGGTATGGCTTGGCAGGTTTTAGGTGATTTTATGTGGTTGTGGCTTGGCAGGTTGTAGGTAATTTTATGTATCTGTTGGCAGGTTTTAGGTAATTTTATGTATCTTTCCAGCAGGAGCCTGGGGGCAGGGGATGCCACCCTGAGGGAACTCCTGTGCCCAGGGCTGGCCCTGGCCCTGGAGCTTTGGGTGGCACCACAGAATCACACACTGGGCCAGGGCAAAGACCTCAGGGGGTCACCTGGTCCTCCTGGTCCAGCAGGGTCATGCCAAGGCACAGGGCTGTGTCCAGGTGGTTTGGGAACCTCTCCAGTGAGGGTCCCTTGGTCCCTGAATCATAAAGTGCTTCCTCCTGTCCAGGTGGAACTTTCTGGGCTCAGTCCCTGCCCATCCCCCTGGTGCCATTGCTGGGACTGCGGAGCAGAGCCTGGGTCCTGCTCAGAGCTCCCCCTGAGGGCTCCAGACAGAGGTGAGGTCCCTTCCCAGCCCCAATTCC